AGGAGGCAAGAACCGACTGTTGAGGTTGGGGTAGGGGAGCTTTCCGGTTTGCACTTCTGGAAAAGCCATAGAAATCAGTGCAGTAGAAAAAGCAAGTTGCAAAGCTGGTAAGTATAGGAAGAAAGGTTCACAGTGCCAAATTATCTATGTGTACGTAAACACATTGAGAAAGTCTGTCGGTGCTCTGGGGAAAGGAGTCGCTTGGGAGAGTGAATAAAGGGAGCTTACTTTCTACATTGTAGGTTTCTGAGATATTTAACATTATTATTTAATAATGAAAATGTGATCATGTAGTTGAAAGAAGTATCTGCATTTGGAGAGCTTGGATATCCTTCAAACAGTTCAGACTCTCCGAGTACCGGCAAGAGATGAGTCACCAAAATCTTCCCACTCGCCCTTCTTTCTTCCTTCCTCACTGCTCCACATGTTTCCCCCTCATCTTCCTACCTGAAATCCTTTGAATTGCCCCTTGACCTCTGCCAAGGGGTCTTCCTCACAACCCTTTTCATTATTACAAATCTACCTGCGAAACCCACTCTGAAAGAGAAAGCATTTTGAAGGTATTAAATTACTTACAGGCACCTGGACATCTAAGTTAGCCATTATATCTAAAACATATTTGAAAAAAATTAAGATAAAATGTTTGTGGAGTATATCTATTTTCTCCTAAACAGCTATACTACAGTCTTTCTGTTAGTATGACCACATGATGTTAATTTTCCCCTCATTATTAAGTTGTCATTTTGAACTAACTTGACTTAGAAAAATTACAAAAATGGTATAAAAATCTCATTATATCCTCCAACCCAATTTGCCCAAATATTAACATTTAGCATAACCATAGCACAATGACTATAACAGGGAATTAACTTTACCATTACTCTATTAACTAATCTACAGATATTCACATTTCTACAATTAGCCAACAAATGTCCTTTTTTTTTTCCTGGTCCAGGTTTCAACCCAGAATTTCATAATGCATTTAATTGCCATGTCTGCTTAGTTTCTTCTGATTTGTGACAGCGTCTCAGCCTTTCTTTTTTCATTACTGACACTTTTGAAGAGTACCACTGGCCAATTATTTTGTGAATGTCTTTCAATTTGAATTTTTCTCATTATTCAAGCAATACTTTTTTTGTCAAAAATATCACAGAAGTGATTGTTGTGCCCTTCCTAGTGCGTTATATCAAGAGGCACATGATATCCATGTGTCATTAATGGAGATGTTAATTGATTACTTGGTTAAGGTGGTGTCTTCCAGATTTATCCAATGAAAAGTTGTGATTTTTCTTTCATGTTTAATCACAGGAGGCAAACATCCTCATTATATGCATACCAATTTTAGCATTCATGATTCCTGACTGGGGCAGTTAGTGTGTGGTGTTTGCCAAAAGGTGATTTTTCTGTTTCCATCATTTTGATGTCAGATTTCAATCTGAATATTTAAATGCACCATAACTTTTAAAAGGAAGATTTAAAAAAATTTGGGGGGGGAGGAATTAGGTTTTATTTATTTATGTATCGGAGTTACTAGGGATTGAACCAGGACCTCGTGCATGCTAAGCATGCACTCTACCACTGAGCTACCCTACCCCACCCCCACAAAAGGAAGATTTTGACTCACAGTTTTCTATTTCACGTTAGGGGAAAAAAAGGCATTTGGAGGCTGTGTGATATGCCGAGGAATTAGTGGCTAAAATAGAATTTATGAAAACATTACAGAAAAAATCCAAATGAATAATTCATTATACTTTGTTCTTGTAAGAACATGGAATCTAAAATTCCAATTTACATTAATTTACAAGCTCATTAATTAAACTGGATTTTATTACTACCATGTTTGTACCCATTCTTATAAATAGGTAAATTTTAAATGGTATTTAAAAATAGAACAAAGATAAAAAGTCTTTAATATTATTTCAAATGTACTGCTATTTTTAGCTGGCATTTGCAAAACTAATCCTTTAAATCAACAATACATCTGATTCTCATCCAGTGATATTTCACTTTAGCCTCAGTGTTTGCTGAAAGGATTTACTAGAAGTCGGAATGAGTATCCTTTGAATGCACTGAAAGAAAGTAGAATACTTGTGGGTGAAACTTAGAGATCTTTTTATCTGAGGGATATCTGATGCATTCTGATAAATCTCATTTGAAGATTAAGTTACCCTGTGCAGCATTTCCCCTAACCTTTATTGTTGTAGATGGAAAACTGGCCTAAGAGTGGGTCTTAGCCTCGATAGCATTTTTCTTGCCTTCAGTATGAAGGAAAATAGGAAAGTGAGTTTAGATTTTTTTAAAAAATCACTACACTTTTGACTATCTGATATCTATGAACCCTTTCCCCAGGAAAATGGACAAACCCACATGTTCCCTTAGAGCAAAAGCAATCCTGTGTCAACTGGGAGAGAGAAGGGAGGAAGTAATGAGATAAGCGGGCTGCCAGACTGTCAGAGGTTTCCCAGTTTCCCCTCCTGCCATATAGCACAGCTCCCCTCTCCTGGCAGCTCTGGTGTGCCATCTAAGTCTGCACAGCCCATCTGGCTCCTTGTCATTTCCCTCCAAACCCCTCCCTCAACCACCAGTATCATTCTCTCCTCCTTCACTGAGCCCCCAGTCTGCTCAGCTTTCTTGCTGGCTCTTCGCTCCTTATCAGGTCCACCCTGTCATTGGCTGTTTCACCAACTTTTTCACCTTTCTCACTAGCCATTTTTTGGGAAGGTAGCTCAGAAGCTCAAGTGAGAGATTGCGACCACTTCCAAATGGCTAGAGCAAAAAAGAATGTATTGAATAAACATGTCAATGCTTCCCCTTCTCATCAGCATTGAAAACTTGCTACGTTTCTCTGTCTGTTTGAAAATGGAAGAAGAGCTGATGAACATGTTGGGGGAACACGCCTAAAATCTATAGCTTACACAATCGGTGAGCATCGTCAAAGGAGAGAAGGCCAGAGAGTAACTGCACTGATCCCAGAAAGGCAGGAAGATGAGTTGGAGAAAGAGAAGTGGGGGCCGAGGAAAAGGGATTTACTATGAAACATCTTTGTTTCTAAAATGGAAAGAACGTAAATTCCCAGAACCCGCTTCTTCGCCCGCCAACCCCGTCGCCTCCTGCCGCTGTCAAGCCCTCGGCGCCCAGCCCAGCTCAGGCCCGCCACAGCTCGCGGCAAAGCTTGGCGCTGCAGCGCGCGCCTCCTCCCGCAGAGCAGGAGGCTGCGGGGCAGGACCGCCAGTGGGGAGCGAGAGGGGACCGCCGGGCGCCCTGGGGGAATCCCTCCCGGGCTCTGACGTCAACACAGCGCCGGCCAATGAGAAGCCGGAGAGGGGGATTCCCGCTCTGGCTGCCGCCCTGCTGGCTTTTTAAACAGTACCCTCGGGAACGCTCTCTAGGAGCCTTGGGACGAGTCGGGGGAAATGGAGGTTAGAGGTGAAATATGATCGTCCTGGGAGACGAGACTCCAGAGGTTTGACGATTAAGCGTCAAGACTGGCTTAGACTTGGAGGAAAAACCAAAAGCCGTCGAGGAGAAGCTACACTCCAGGTAGGGCAAAACCTCCCACAGATGGAGTGGAAACTGGAGCGCACCGCCCGGAGGAGGGTCCGGACCGAAGAAGAGATGCTGTGGGTGAGTAACGCCCTTTTGTTTCCTCGACTCAACTCCCTAAAGGGGCTTCTTGTAGAAGGCACCGTTTGTAATACTTGTTTAGGACCAAAAGGTAATCCAAAACTCTCAATCCTGATCTTAATTATCCTGTTGTGTAATTTAGTTATATTCTGGAGGTGCCTGGTTGCTTTTTAAAAAGTGAATGTAGTTTGACAAGCTGAGGATCTAGAAACATTCCGCACCTAACAATGATTTTCCTCAACAGTTTCTCTCTCAATATATTGTCCATATTTTCAAAGGAGAATGTCATGCGGGTGCTCGCTAAAGACGTGAAGCAGAAGAGAAGCCAAGGTTCTCCTAAGGTGAGTGTCCAGTGCTCTCTCTAGTTCTCTCTCTCAAATATGACATTGAACAAACTAATTCTTGCTACACAAGATATTTGCTGGAAGTATGAGTTGGTCTGAAAATATGAAAAATTTAAAAATCTCATATTATCACTAACTATAGAGTCTAATTATATATTAAAACATGTTTGTAACAAACTGAAGATTCCAGACTGACAAATAATGGTAATGGTTTGTATATGAGTGGTCCTTTCTAGTTTTCGCCTGAACATCAAAGGATGAATCAGATAGGATGTGTCAGATAGGCAGTGCATCGCTAGCTGGCTGTTACAATTTCATTTTAACAGTTGCTAGTTGCACTCCTCTCTGTTGCGTTCATAAGCTTGCCCCCAAGGAAATGGAAATGGTGCCATCTTGTGGTCAAGAAGAGAAGTCACGTAATCCAAGGCCCTTAGGTTAGTAATTTAAAAGTTGATCCAATGTAGTATTTTTTCTCCTTGAAACCTAAAGGCCTTTAGCTTCTCTTCTAATCAGTGTGAAAATAAAACAAATCCAAATATTTTTATCTTATTTTTTACACATAAATATCTCTCGTATGCTTTGGATTCCTTATTATCATGATTCACCTTGCTTCTCTCTAGGCTAAATTGTTCACATTCCTTTAGTTTTTACCCATAGATTCTAGTTTCAAACCCATCACCAGTTTTACAGGTTTTTCTAGATCTCCTTTAAATTTTTCTTTAAGTGGTGACACGAAAAATTGAACATATAACTTTCAGAATGCACTTTCAGAATTCAAGGACTAATATCTTTTATAGCAGGATAAAACAAATGACATTTAAGTCCTTAATTGTCCTAAATGCTTTAGTATTTGTTTTTCCCAAACATAGCTGAAGATTTGTCTTATGCTCAGCTGATGTATTATCATGACTCCTAGATATTTTACTACCTAATACAGACAACTGGTCTTTTGGTCAGTAAACAGAAGTAATTGGAAAAGCTATAGTTAAGTATAGCTTTGTTGATTCACTTGTATTGCAATAACATATTTTCATATCCAAGTCTTTAATTTGGAAAACCTAAGCGTAAGTATTTTGAAATTTTTTCTTTCTCAGTTTTTGACTAGATTAAAGAAAATACTGGTTTTATTTCTTATAATATTTTTGGAGGAATAGGTTTTATCTATAAGTTTTCTTTAATGTGACTGTTAAGATGAAAGTTCTGCCACTGTGTTTCATGCTATAAATTTAGCCTTAGTGACTTTATGGGCCATGAAAAGCATCAGTGACCTGAATCAGGTAGGCAGTGTATTGTTAGCTGACTGCTTTGGATCAATTCAGCAGCCACAACTACCCTGCCACTTGCTTCTGGATAAATTCTTCTTGTTAACAAACTGCATTGGTTATCTATGTGTGATGGGTTGGCAGTGTATTGTTAGCTGGTTGAATATGTGAATGGCATCAGCTAACATGCAACTGCTATCTTATTGCATATACAATGAACATCAGAGTGTAATTAAATCTGTAAGTAATATGTGTGTGTGGGTGTGCTTTTTGCCATGAACCAGGACATTCTTTATCATAATCCTTATTATTGCTATTCAGTTATAATACAATGGACAGCTTTATAATGGTGAAGAAACTACTCCAACTAATTACTTAAAATATTTTCTGGTAATATTCTGGAGTCTCTAATACTTGTGGACAGCATTAAAGTATTTGTGAAATTAGACACTTATTTTAAATATAAAGCTTAGAATATAAGAACAGTTTGGAATGGAAAGCCTAAAATATTTCCCCAGATTTTCAATTAAGTCTTTAGTATTCTTTTTGGATGCTCAGTTTCTTAATATGACATGAGAGTAGGTCTCAAGTACCATGTGTGTGTACAGTTGAAGGGAGATTTGAGGTAACTTGCCAGATGAGTCAGTCAATTAAAATATTTTCACTTGACTATCAAGAAAATTGGGGATTTTGGAGGGCTGTGGGACTGGGATTGAATTATTTGGAAAATTTGCCTCAATTCTTCACTTCATTTTCTGTAAAATCACAGACCCATACAGTATTTGGAAAACAGCATGAGATTTAGCTCATGAATTGGAAAGAAATGGCTATATAATATAATTTAAAATATTTTTCTTGTTCCCTTGAAGACCATTTTGACCCATGGAGCAGTGTCAGGTTGTTCTGGGTCACAGACATACAGTGCAGTTGTATAGACATTTGTAGCAAGTTCATAGAACTGACTTTGGTGGGCTTGTCAATTATTTACACCCCAAGTGAGATGAGAAATATATCACATTCTATACTGCATTGGATTGTAAGTTATTGGTAAAATAATTTTAATTCTTACCTTATTTAAACATTTCTAGAACCATAGGTTAAATAAGTACCTGTAATTTGATTCTTATGCATTTTGCTACTTTCAAATCTCATCCTCTTTTTATTGTTGTCTAATATTCCATTTCCAGCATCTTTGTGTTAAAGTATCCCTTCCATGAAAATATTCTTTTCATCTTGTTTTTTTTTAAAGGTTAAATTTCAACCTGTTATTTTCTATAGAAAGTGACTGACCTGTTGATAAAAATAAAACTTACTAAATTTAGAAGGCTTGTCCCATGTGTTTTAATTTTTTAAACTAAAGAGTGAGACATAAAATGCCAACGTTTATATTCAATAGACAGAATACATACTTCAGTTGCTATTATTGAGATGATAAGAAAGGAAAGGATGGGAATGCAGTAAAGATGAATAAGGAGACCAGTGGGTAAGGAGGTGAATGCATGTATAAATTAAAAAAGAAAACGTTTCCATAGGAGGAGAGGGAGAGATAGGGGTCCACACTCGGAATGTCAAAGGAAGAGGAGAGGGAAGGGGGTCAAGAAAAGAGGACAGAGGCCATGCTGGTTGGATGTATTTTCTCTCAGGTGTTATCTCTCGGGGCAGCCACTGTGCTGTTCGCTGGTGCTGGGTATGTAGCTTCCCACCATACCTTCTGGAAGGCATCCTAATTCTTCACTGCTTTTTACTTGCATCCCTCCCTCTGCCACACTCCCCCCGCCCCGCTATGAGAATGCTTCCCTCTGCCAGATGTTGCCTCAACTGTTCAGTGGGAAGAGGGAGAGAAGGGTGGGCAGAAGGATGACGTGTCAGTTTCCAGGTGTAACAGTTGTTAGGATTTTATTCCCTGTGAAAGATGAAGTCAAGTTGAGGGATCAACACACACAGAGCATCTCCATATTAGCTCCATCCAAACATGACATTTTTCTTTCAAAGGAGCACAGTATCTGGACTGAACGTAATTTTGTACAGGGGTCACTCAAGACTTTTAGCTTGTAACAGGCAGTCTTGAAACACAGGTAGTATGTTTAAAGAAAGTAAATACAGAGAAATAGTATTTGTTTTTCCTTCTTGGACTTTGTCTACATTTCTTTTTCTTCTTTCTTACTGGAGTGTTTTCCTACTTGAGATTACCTGCAGGCAATTCAGTTAGGTTGTTAGGGTCTAGTGTGATTATATAGTTATAATGTTAGCAGCTTTTCATAATTCAGTAACTGCATATACTTCCACATTTATGTATAAGCTGTCAAAATAGTATATAATAAAAATAAAGAGTATATATGTTTTTGCTCTAGATTTTTCTCTTTGGAGAGTCTTACAATTCCCCTCTCTAGTCTGATTTTAAAAACTTTGTTGTGCTGGAGCCAGCTCATCCTGGTTTGTGAGAACCGATTGTTAAATTTTCAAATTTTGCAGGCCAGCTATTAAACTATTAGTACTTTAAAATTGGCCATGTGGGAGAATTCACACCATGGAAATTGTAAAAGCTGCAAATTGGGACTTCTCCAGAGAGCTGGTTGTTAAACATTTACCAGTCACCACTGTGTATATGTTATATATACTATAATTAGTAAGAATTTTATATGTACATATGTAAATATAATGTACATTATAAGAATTATATGTACCTATACATACTATAGGTACATTATATTTAGCATTTTCAAAAAATGAAGCACAATGTTTAGCGAATATTTCAGGCAAATTCATATTTATTCCAGTCTCCAACACTCTCTGTTGATACATCTGCCATGAAGTGTTGATCAGGAGTTAGTATGAAGTCCTCGTCTCACTTCCCAAATAAAATAAACCATAACAAACTTCAAGTCAATGAATTATTAACCATAATTAAAAGCATTTGATTTTGTCCCTTTTGTCAAGAGGACAAGCGCTGAGTACTCTTTCACGTGGTGCCTGAATTTTTCTGTTACACTTCTCAGTCCAGGCAGCCCATAACAGTCTATGTCCCAGACTTTTTGATGCTTGAGATAGAGAAGATATTATGCTCAATTCTAGAAAGAGGCAGTTTTTTCTCTGTGTGTTTGCCTGGCGTTATTCGCATGAGACATTTGAGTCACAGGCAGCAGCACATTGGCAGATGGCTCTACTCCCTTTGACTGCACGTAGCCTGGTGGTTACAGAACCCTGAAAGGACATTTATACGGCACATTTTTCAATCCCCACCTGCCTTCCCTGCATATTCAGAGGGGCAAGAGGAGAGAATCAAGCACTAACTAGATGAGAGATTATAGGTTGAATAAGGCAACCAAGGTTGGAGATATGTAAGTGAAAAAGCCACTTTATGTGGCTTTGGAGAGACCTAGTGATTTGTGGCAGGATGGACCTGGGAATTGCATTCACCGGGACAGTCCTGGTCGTTCCCCAGTGCGGCTCCATTACCATCTGCCTGGCAGTGGGGCGTCTATGTAGCCTCTGCAGTGCTGGCAGGTACACTTCTGTTCATGCTCTGGTGTGAGCACATAAACACCCAGCAGTCCCACAGCAGTGCTATGAACTCAGGGAAGTCGTAAGTGGGGGTATATGGCGAGAGTGTTCTGCAAGCAACACTTGGAGGGACTGCCCTAAACAAAATTTTGCTTAGAGGCCCAGAATTCAAATTGCTTACAGGCTTTTGGGGCAATTTTGCAAAGGACAGATAGAATGGTTAGGTAGCTTCCATTTCTTCTCTTTCTAGAATTCTTTTTTTTTTAAATAAGCTTTGTTCAGAGTTCTTTTTTCAGGGAGAGTTTATTTTGGTTTATATATTTAATAGAGGTACTGGGGATTGAACCCAGAACTTCGTGCATGCTAAGCAGATGCTCTACTTCTGAGCTATACCCTCTCTCATTCCATTTCTTCAACAACAATCCAGGTTAGTACCGATTTCTGATCAATTGAAAAACCTTGGCAAGTTGAAAGTGGCTTTTTGTTCAGTTTGATCCTCCTCCTCAGTTTACAGGTGAGGAAACTGAAAAGTAGTCAAGCGCCTGGCTCAAGGCCAGGCTGCTGGTGAGAGGCAGAAGCAGGCTCGCTCACACATTGACTGGCCATCCTTGAGGTGCCCCTGCAGAGCCTCTTGACCTGAGGGGAAGGACACCTCCACCACCACCAGATATCTTACTAAATACATTCAGAGCTGGGTGGTTGGACATATACTTTGAAGCAGAAGGTATTCCAAGAAGTATTTTTGGTGTCTCTAAGAACTTTAAACACTTCTGCAGAATTATATACTGACACGGCATCACTGATTTCACCATAAAAAAGAATCTTCACGTTCACTTATCAGGTCGGAATTGGAGAACCAGTTCACAGTAACTTAGACTGGGTCTTCCTTAGCCAAATTGTACATGACTTTTTTCACCCCAATATTCCTGTTTAATTCTTTTATGAAATGAATATATATTTCATGAGGCAATAATTAACCTTTACCAACTTGGCATGTTGCTTTGTTAGGCAGTAATTTGAAGGCTGACAAAACACAAAGGTCAGGACTTTGGGGGAAAAGGCTATGTTGTGACTCTATCAGAAGGCTTAGTGATTGCTGATGTTTTTCTAGGAATCATGCAATTGCAGTCACTCCTTTTTTTACATTAAGAGTTTTGACTGTTTGGAGTTGATTCCTATTATTTCAGCCATGAGAATGATGCAGCATTGAATTCTTTCCACATGGCTAATCTAGTCTGACTGGATGGGCAACTGCAATTAACTCATAAGGAATCAAGCTGTATGATTATATACTCCTGGCCTTTTTCTTACACTTGGGGTTTTTACTCAGAAATACAGACTGACTCAACTGTTACTATTCTAATTATGGAATTTGAGTTGCTTCTGGAAAATAATAAACGTTGAAGATGATGAAAACTTTTTCAAATGTTATGATAACGTCACTTATAAATGACTATTTGGCTGATTGTAGTAAAACATACCATGAACCTGTACTTAAAAACAAAATCCTACATATGGATCAGATAAAAATATATAAGGATTAGAATCTATGTACATACATTACACATTTTGCAAACTTTATTTTCTCTTTTATTACATAAAAAGTCATTTACAGTTAGTTACTCCAGAAATTTCACACAGTGTCCTAAATTCAAAGAGTTGTTAGTGTGTTGCCATTTCCATCCAGTACAGTCCTAGAAAATGTCAAGTCAAATAATAGGCTATTGAAGCACACTGATGACTGTATTCTGAATTATTTCATGTGGTCAGGTGAAATATTTAATATATTTCATTTAGATTCTTTGGCTGCTCTTTATTTTTGCTTTGGGTAACATTGCTATTGTGGGGACATTCATTACCACTTACTGATAAGATAACTTAGAGGGAAAATCTTCCTTCAGTACCACATTTATTTGTCAGAGTATTTAAAATGGGACCAAGCCCTCATGGAGACATTTCTGTAGTCTGACTATTGCCTTAGAATGGTTTGATGGCGTTTTCATAGATCCTCTTTCTTTTTTATGATCATTTGTCTAATCAGAGCTGCTATCTCAGGCCTGATGACTTCAATGGGTTCCTCTGGCCTCCAGGACTTCACAACTTGACCCTCGGGGTTGACCAGATACTTCCAAAAATTCCACTTTGGTTCCTTCTTCGAAGAATCTAAAATATCAGAATATATCTTCATGAGTAAAATTTTATTCTTTGTAAAGACTTTCATATCCATCACTATCTGCATAGATGACTTTAGAGTCAAGTTCTAGGATTGTCATCATGTTAAAAACAAAACAAAACAAAAAGTAAAACACCCAAACAAGGCAACTCAAAGTTTGTGTAACCAGATTCCTATGTACTTGCTGACTTTACTGATGATTCTACCGACTTGGAATCATGAAATAAAATAAAATGGTTTATTTTAGATTTGTTGATCTCAATCACAAAAAGTTACCCTGTCACTAGCTCAAAACTTTCAATTCTGAACATTTTTTAGGATAAAAATGATGTTCTAAAGATCTGTGGTGATGGGAATGTATGGATTACTTTTCATAGTAAGTACATCTATGTTTTTGATATTGTTACATGTTACATAGCTGAAAACAGGAATTCTAAATATTATTTTGAGAAATTAGACATCCTTTTGATACATCTTAATTTATAAAAGAAAGTTTTTTCTATTTATATCATATAGGATTTATGTGCATTATTATTGACTAACATGAGGAAAAATATAAACAATTATAACTAAAAATTACCAAGTGCCTATTATGTGACTACTAATATGTATGCTCGGTGCTTTAAATGAATCCTCTCATTTAATCTTCACAGCAACCCTGTGACGTGGGTATTATTGTTAATAGGTTTATTTATTTATTTATTTATTTATTTATTTATTTATTTTTAATGGAGGTACTGGGGGTTGAACCCAGAACCTCGTGCATGCTAAGCACACGCTCTACCACTGAGCAATACCCTCCCCTTTCACCCCATCCCCCACCGTGAGGTGGGTATTATTATCCCCATTTTGCAGACGAGAAAAATGGAGGCCTAGACTCATGGTCACACGGCTAGTGCGTGGTAGAACCCGGATTGAGATCTAGACCTTACTGCAGAGCTCCTGCTCTTAAAACAGGGAACATGGCAAAGCAAGCAGATTTTAGGGGAAGTTGACAAATTCCATTTTGTACACGAAGGGATTCAGGTGTGCGTGGGATACCCAATCAGAGGAGGTTTTGGAGTTTAGGAGAGAGAGCTCACCCAGGGAAAGGGAACAGAGTTAGAAGAGCCCAAGAGGATGTGGCAGAATCCTGAGGATCAGTAGAGCGTGGGTGGAAAAGAGGAAGCTGCAAACGAGAAAGAGAAGGGTCCAGAGTGGGAGTCATAGGTACCGGGACCTGCCAGGATCGGAGAGTCGTGGAGTTAGAGGCCAAATATGGTGATCTAAGAAAGAAACAGACAGGGAGGTGGAGGAAAGATGTGTTAACTATTCTTTTAAAAACAGTAGTGATGAAGTAGGTAGAAGGAACACATTGCCTAGAGTTTTTAAAGGTGGGAATACTTTGTTTTATGCTGGGAAAGAACCAATGTAGGAGTATAGGTTAAAAATACTAAATTAAAAGTAGCCTAATATTTACTTACATGTGCTTTACTTTGCAAACCGTGTCAAGTATTTAAATTTGTTATTGCAGTTTTAGAAAGTATTGCTGATCAGATCAAACATCAATGACTCGGTATGAACATTATATTATTAATTAAAGCCTTCTTAAAATCATTTTGAAAAATTACCATTTTCTATAATGGAAATTGTGTTTTTAAAGATAATGCCCATCAGGGCAAGCCTCTTTCTAGCCAGTGTAACATCTTTGGGTGAATTAGAAAAAGATACCCTTCTAAATGGGTACAGTCTCTCAGCATATAACCTTGCACTCGCCTGGGTTTCAGCCCCTACTTGCCTTTCCACTCAGGTGCCTTGTTTAGTAAACAACCTGCTCACTGGGTACAGAGCAGTCCTGTTTGTGACCACATGATCAGTTACTGCCCATTTTGGGCAATTTTAAAAGATCTAAGGTTCACTTGGCAGTCATCTCACAGTCTGTCTCTGGAGCTTTATCTAACTTCTGTGAAACCTTAAATCACTGTTACCTTTTTGATTACAGAGTAGTGGGCTTTCAGAAGGTTTTCTAGTGACAAAGGGGAAGAACCTAGAAGCTATTGCGCCCAAGTATTTGGCTGCTATAATTGAGAAATGAATACAAGGGCACGTGCTCTGGCTTTTCTCTCCTCAGTGAACCCTGGAAGTAGAAGGAATGAAGACCTCACTCTAGCTGCTATTCATGATTAGGCGTTACATTGACTTTCCCTGGAAATTAAATACATTGTTTTTGGAAGATTCTGATTTAATACTTAAATGAAATATAGAACATCATTAGCTGGTTTGTTGGATTGAAAGCTTGATTGCCTGGCTGAGGTCATGGTTTTATCAAAACTCAAGTTACCTCCAATGAGAACAGGACTGAAGGTATCATTTGCCTAAGTTAGATGAGAGAACATTAGTTGAATGTCCTTTAGAATAGTGCCTGGCACAGTGTAAGCTGAATGCCTGTAAGTACTTTACTTTTATTATTAACACACTTAACCCTCCAAACAATCTTAAGGGGAAGGTACTATTGATAATGTCATTTTACAAATGAGGAAACAGGCACAGAGAAGTTAAGTTATGTGCCTGAAGCCACACAGCAAAAGCAATAGAGCAGGGGTTTCAACCCGGTACACTGGTGCCAAAGCTTTGCTCTTAGTCAGTATACTGCACTACCTTTATGCCAGAAAAGCTTTAAATATAGATTTCTGTAACTAGCTTAATTACTGAGATGACCTAACACTCCTCCTCCAAAACAATCAAGATATATTGTTTTGAACTTTACCAAAAACCACACTGAGATGTTATTCACCCTTGAGGAAAATATCTCAGATAAGTAGGGCAACATAAAATTAACCACAAAGATAAGTTTAACTAATAATGCTTATCAATATTCATGAGGGATGTACAGCTTTAATAAAGAAGAAGGACATTGGCCCACAAACTAGTTAAATGAGAGGAGGATTGAAATATTTTGAGAAATTGCCATAACTACACTGAAAGTACATTCTTCAGGAAAATGATCATAAGGAATAAAATACATTGGAGTAGATTTATTTTGCCATCCAAGAGGCTGAAACATTGATTTCAGGGAAGTATAACTTCTAGAAAGTTACAAAGGATGAGAATATAACTCTTTGATAGTTTTATAAAACTGTGCCACTAAAACATTTCAAATGAAATAGGAAAGTATCGTCCTGGTACATTGGTTTTAAAAGTATAAAGCAATTAAAAATATTACATTAGCAAGGCAAGGTGGATATTTACCAACAAGAAATCTGAATGCAGGTTCTGCTTCCGATCCTAGAATCTTAATCTTGTGGAAGATGGGGAATGTTACTCCGTAGTTATTTCTTGCAAAAGTTACTACTTCCTTGCTTGGGCGGGGCTCCGAGTCTCCAAACTGATTGCAAGGAAAAGCCAAGACGCTGAAGTGGAATGGTCCAAACTCTTTGTGTAGTTCCTGCAGTGCTAAGTAATTTCTGTCTGTGAGTTGGCAGTCACTAGCCACGTTTACAACTAGTGCAACCTCCCGGAAAAAGAAAAAAATCCAACCGGAAAGTGAAGCAAATAAAAGATTAAAAAAAATTCTACAAGAAGTTAAAATCCTAAACCATGTTGGGGGAATACAATCTTTGATAGAGGGTTATTTCATATTTTTAGACATACCCAATTCTGTTGAAAATCATAACCCAGATGCATAAGTTAAAACTCTGAAATATCACTACTATTGAAAAAGCCCCAGGTACTCACAAAAGTATATTTTAAATAAAAAGATAAAATATGATTACTGATAGAGCGCTTTTTAATGTTATTAGATTATGGAATTAATATTTTCATTAATGTCTCCATACTCATATTACTATTACGATTTCCTAAACAACTTAATGTATTATTAATTCAGCACTTAGAACATTTGAAAGCAAACAGTTAAGATAATAAGAGTTTATCAGTTAGAAGTATATACACTATGAGAACTCTGATGGCTAAAGTGATACACTAATAACATCACTTTGAGGATGAAATTATAACATGACCATTTAACAGCGAAAAATTGACTAATAAGTGAATAAACAGAGAAAATGGACAAACAACAGAAATTAGTCAGAAGATGCAACTTACTTTGCCTCTAAACTTTTCCAGAGAAACCGTTCTTCCTTTTGCATCTTTCACTTCGAAGGTATAAAAGCTGTTGATTTTAGGTTTTAGGAATTTTAGTTGTAGAAGAAATAGCATTACTGTACATAGAACCATAGACAGCAAAACTGCAAATACCTTCGCTTTGGGCCCTGAACATCTCAAAGGGTAGGCTGTGAGAGGCTCCATTTTGGAGATTTCTAGAGGGACCTCTCAGCAGGCTGGAATTCAAGGAGGAGCTGAAACCTGAAACCGGCTCAGCTTAACGGAAAGACAGGAAGGACAGACTAGCTCATTTCCCTGCTGAGGAATAGAAGGACCCTTCTCAGATCGAGAATAGAGTGAAACTCCTAAATGAAGTAAAAGGCTGTAAAGAATATCAATGTATTTATAGGATGTCGTTGCAGTTTTTGCTAGAGAAATCAGGACTTTTTTGGTGGCTCTTTAGTATCTTCCTAACAAAGAAAATATTTCACCAGTAGATGGTGCCCTTGTAACTTGAAAGCTGTGACGTGCTCCCAGCAATTGGCCAGAGATAGAGGGTTGGGTGTATAATTCAGGAATACTTCAGTATCGATTAAATTCATCTATTAATATGATATATGACCTATAGGAATTTAATGTTATATGTATGGATTAAGCATGCTCTATGAGTTCACGGAATTTATAGTGGAAAGGGCAGTGAAATATCTGAAAAATTTACTTGCTCTGACCTCATTTAGCTAAGGCAGTGCCAGGTGAATATAGTAAAAATAAATTGATTAAAAACTGATGGCTTTAAAAAGCCCTCTATCATAAAGCAAACTATAGTCTAGTAATTTTTCAAATTTTTGATTATGATGCACAGTAAGAAATGCACTTTATAGTGTAACTGAGAAGTTTGATGAAACAAGGCTTCCGCTTTGAACTGTGATGCACCCTGGGCTATTGCATTTTTAAAACAGCTTGGTTCTGATCCATGAAAATGATTTCAAGTTTCATCAATAGTCTGCAAACTATAGAAGGAAAAATACTGAGCTCTATAATAAAACAGGAATTTAACAATTAAGTAAGATAATTCCTTTCAAAAGATAAAAAGACCCCCCCCCCCACCAAGCCCACGTCTCCTTGGTGTATCACCTAGTTGCTTCATTTTTTAATCTTTATATTTCCTGTGGCTCTTGCCTTCTACAGGAGGTCCAATATTGTAGAAAATTTTAGGGGTCAGTATGGAGAAGAAATTGAGAGCTATGTATCCTAAAATCCACGTTTCCTTTAGCCACCTTGAAAAATGCCCTGTTTAAGGCACATAGCAAGTTTTGTATGAAGGTGCTTTGTTCCACTAGGGCCTGACTGTTGGTGTTGTTGTGAGTTTCCAGAAAGTGCTGGGAAAATGCACAGAATGATCTGAGATGCCTGCGAGAGTCCCTCCCCATCACTGTTAGATCTTTGGAGCTTAAGGGGATGTGCTAAGGAGGCTGCCAGCTCTGTTCTGGCCCCAGCTTCTGGGCTGTGTGTGTTTGGAGGTAGTTGAGCAATGCCCACAGCTTAGGCACATAAACCTGTCAAAGACCATAAACCACTTCACTCCCTTTCTGGGGCCTGATACAAGAAAGGATACAAGAGAAAACTATTCTCTTGTAAATGTAATTTCTAGTAACTAAAAATGTGCACAAAATATATTATATTACTTCTCAACTGTGGTGACTTTGCTTTGGTGTTCTGTTGCTGAGTTATCGATAAAGTCAAAGTCCTTGTGTTTATAACACTGCTATGTAATTTAAATTCTCTGGCCTTGCTCCTCCAAGTCAGGTCCTTGTCTGCAGCACTGCCGTCACCTGGGTGCTTGTTGGAAACAGCATCTCAGGCCCCACCCCAGCCTTTCCGAATCAGAATCTGCATTTTTACGAGATCCTCTTGACTCAAGTGAACATTTAGGTTTGAGGAACTTTAGACTTCAATCTTTATCTGGCTTGCAGAGCAATAAGCTTCTTTGGTTTCCCTTTGTCTTCCCTAGTAGATGTGCTTCGTATCTCTGTATCTACACTAGGTACTTTAACTCCTCAGGCTGTCCAAGTAAATGGCTTTAAAAGTTAATACATACAACCTGCTGTAATTTGAACCTTGTAAACCCATCCCATTATAACTGTGCTTTGAAGGAAGGGATGGATGGGCACCTCTGGGAGGGATGTTGACTGACCATCCCCCAGGCAGGGCCCTACAGGGTGATATTATTTTGATAAAATCATTATAATAGTTTCTAGTCCATTGTTTTCTAAGTAAAGAATCTCCTATTGAGTTATTCAGAGCTGAATGGACATGAGAAGGCCAATATTAATTCTGTATGAACTTGCAAGAAATTGCTGTATGAGCCAGCATGCCAGCTTTTACAAGCAGAAATAAAACAATTGTGCAGACCTGATGATTCATGGTAGTTTGCCCAGAAAATTCACTCTACATGAAAATGACTGAAAGCTTAGGTAAGTCTCTTGTCAAAGATGAAATCAGAGCCAGTTTGTTAATTTATGATTCTTAAGGCTTAGAAGCATGATATATATATATATATAAATATATATATTTATTTATTTATATAAATAAAATTTATATATTTTATAATATATAATTATAAATATATATATAAATAAATATAAATAATATATAATTTATATATATAAATAAATATAAATTTATATATATATATAAATATCCATAGGCCCATTAACCAAACATGCAAGGCAACAGTTTGGGGAACTCCCACCCTAGACAGTGGTGAACACAGATAGAAATCTCTTCTCTTGGTAGAGTCTTTCTCTGTATATATTTTGATATCATCATCTCTCAGCTTTCTGGGGATCTGTCATCATTGCTTACACATTCTGTTTATACTAGAGACCATCCTCAGATTATAAGTAAACCCACATTGCAAATTTCTCTGCATAGGAGATCATATGCTAAAAAACCCACCAGCACTCTTTCAGAAGATACAGGAAGGCTGCCTAAAGGAGGGGAAGAGATTGATGAGGTTGAAATTTAAGGTTAAGGGAAGCTACTGGGCCAAGAATGGGATCAAGCAGTTTGACTCAAATAACCAACCAACTCAGGCACTGTGGAAGATATAATAAAGTATAATTGATGGAGACAGCCTCACACTAGCTTGCAATCAATTTTGGAGACAAAGCACACATGGAACAATCAGAAACAATTATAAGTCAGCAAATAACCAAGTGCTAAAGAAATGACTTACGTTTGTAAGAGCTTTCTACTCTACGTGGTCCCCGTAAATAAATAGATAAATGAACAAATGACATGCTTGTAGGAAGCTATTTTTGCATATTTAATATACAAATAAATATGCATATACTTATATTAAAGGGGATCATGTGTTGTATAAATCTCTTTACAGACATTATGCAAAAATTCTTTGAAATAGGAAGGAGTTAGTAATTCACCCAAGATCACAGAACTAGTAAGGGGGACAGCCAAGACTAGCGTTTAGGACTTTCAGCTTCCTAACCAAAATTATTTTAATGATGTGAAACCGTTTCTCTGTAACAGACAAAATACGTTTACGTAGAAAACGTGATAGGCGAGATTGCTGCAGTGCTCTGGTGAAGGGGTTCTATTCACTAGGAGGCATTTAGTTTTATAAGAAATCACTGTAAGGGTCTGAAGAAGAGAGGGAGTGGAGAATAAGCACCAAAAACTTGGCCACGTGTGCTGATGTTATCTGGAAGAGGTCAGAGCCCAGAGCAACACGTGAAGCTGAGAGATGATAGTGTCTTAATGAAGGCAGCCTTGGTCAGGGAGATAGAAAGGAAGGGATAAATACTAAGGACACTCTGGAGCCCCCAGTGGCAGGCACTGGCAGTGCAGAATAAAGGATATCTGATCGTGACAATTTTTGCTTGGGTAGTATGGCTCACTACCACCAGGAGGCATTGGAAGTTCAAAGATGAGAAGATAAAAAACATTTTGGTTCATGAGTAATTTGAGATAATACTGAGACCCTGAATTCAAAATGTCTTGAGGACAGATTGCTGCTGCTTTGGGCTGGTGGTGCTGGGCCGGGTGGGAGGGGCAGACATTCAGAGGCTAGTAGGGAGATTGGGGGGATATGCCTGAGAGCTAACGGGCTGTCTTTGTTACTTTTGTTATGAGGTTCTGTCATGAGGTTCTGGAAAGACCCTGCCATCACCAGCATGTCTTTCCTTGGAATGTCCAGGTTTTTCCAGCCCACTGAATATTTATGTGTCAGATTATTTATCACTAGATGTATATTTGTTTTTATTTTCCCAGTTGTTTCATTGTCACTTCCTGGCTTTATTTTTAACCTCTCTAGGTTCCTTTCTATTTATTTTTCTAGCCCTGGTGCCCTGAATTCCTCCCGATTTAGAGTCAATATGATGTGAACTCTAAAGGTAAACAAGCCACACTGATATGGTTGAAGTATCAGGTCATTCATCCCTTTTCCCTTCTTTGTCTTATTTTCCTTATCTTCCTCTTCCTCTCTATTAATAAATACTTGAGTCATTTAAAACTATGCGACAGGCATTTCCTCAGCAGGAGATAGATCCTGAACAAAAGTTTAAAAACACTGAAGATGAAACAGCACAATCCTCCCCCACTCCCCCTGCCCCCGGCCCCCGCAGCGTTTCATCTGCATACCACCTCTGTGATTTTTGCCCTGTCTGCATACCATTTGTTAGGTTACTTAACTTTGTTCAAATTGAGTTATTCATTTTACTCAAATTAATTTTTATAAGGGAAAACTTTCCATCAACATTGAGAAATTTAAAACATTAATTAGAGTACATAACTATTAAAAAATGTTCGTCAGTACTGTTACAAACCCTATATCCTTAGTGGAGGGGCTGACTGAGAACTATATATTCAAAATGCACTTCTTTGAAGTTTTTTTGTGTTGAATACAGATTTGTCTCCTTCCACTCATTGGTCCTTGTTTTGTCATAGGGAGCAATATAAAGTAAGTTTTGCTTTTTTTTTGCAAATTGCTTCCCTTTAAAGGAGACAATTCCTTTGGGATCTTCTTTCCTCTAGGTTAGATTCCCCAGATGCCCTCCTTCCATTCATGTGTTGCTCTGTTGCTGTGTCTTCCCTAACCTCCTATCATTGCAGTCTCTTTCCTCCAAATAAACTCAATTTTTGAATCCTGGCTTGTCCATCTCCTTCTAAAAGAACGGTTCTGAGAATGGCCACAGTTCTCCAGATGAGTTCTCACCAGTGC